GCGCATGCGCCGTATTTACCTTTCTCCGGCGAGTTACGTGCAGCCAACGCCTTCTCTAATACTAATACATAGAGTAGGTCGTGGTACAGCAAAGGGGGGGGGGGGGGCAATCGAGGACTATCTCGACGTCGGGGGAGACAGTGACTGCGACATTAACTTCATTAACCGTGTTAGACACGTGCGATTTCTATTTCATTAATATATCTGGAGTATCTGTCTACGAGAAAACAATTGCCTGTGGTTTTGAATTGTGTTTTAATCGCGAAACAGTAGTAGGGACTCACATGTCTAATAGTTGAGTTCTCTTTTCGTTGTTCCGATTAAGTGGCTGCTTGGTCCAATGGTTAGAACACTGGGTTCAAGTGCGGTAGACCTGGGTTCGAATCCGCAGTAGTTAATTTTTTTTTTACCCCAGACTAAAATAATATCCTCATCTGCTCTGTCGTGGTGACAGCACTAGCCATGTTGCCTTAATATTAAAAAAAAAAAAAAAAGGGTAAACCATTTGATAATTAAATTTGACCATTTCGCATACTTATGATTGCATTGTTAAACTTTCCGATTGCATGGTTACGCTGAAATTTTATAGATTTTCATTTATTTTCATTTAGATTTAGTTATTTCATCTGTGTTGGAATTTTAAGCTGTACTGTTTACAATGGCGTTCATTTCCTAATTATGGTGTTTTTTTCCTGTGTTCATTTGCTTTTCAAGTGTTGTTTTTTTTCCTCCCAACTACTTCAATGTGGGAAAGAGTTGTCGGTGAATTTGGGGGGAGGGGAGGGGGGCAAACTATTAACTGAGAGCTTTAAGTCACAGTAACTGCTTTACCCACTTAAAGTAGCAGCAGCAGTAATAGTTGTGGTTGGGCTGTTACACCATAGTGCTCTCATGTGAAGACCGCCGGTAAGGTTATGGCGTTCTTCTGTCGGCAAGTGAAATTATACATCCTAACCTGACCAGTCTGTGGCGACAGCACTAGCCATGCGGAACCAAATCTTCTGGCTCACGACTCTCTGTCTACTCCAATTGTAACACAGATAGCAGTGACATTATTTTAGTAGTTGTACTGGTACTTGAAGGATGATGTGGTAAATATTTCACTAGCCCTATTCACTACCTTTTACAATTCCTGCTCCTTATTTTAGTCCAGATGGACAGGGATGTCAATGTCAGTTACAGCAACAACAAAATATCGCCAGTTAGTGATTTTCAAATCCTTTGAAGAGGAAGAGAGCAGTAGTCGGTGGAAGAGGGGAGGGGAGGGGGGTAATGACTTAAATTTAAGAGAACTTAAAGAGCTTTACATGTGATTTTCAAGTTCTCATTACCTAATTTGTTTATATTTTACTAACGCTACCTCCGCTTTTCTATTTTTTACGACTTACTTTGTTATTTACAAGTACAGTTGTAGCTTTACTTCCGTCTCCTATAAAAATACAAACAGCTTTAGCATGTGATAACCAAATAACCACTTTTGTAACCAGTTTTATTAGCTGTGGTTTAGCTGTTGCTCTGTACATCGCTAGCGTGAAGCGAAGACACATTTCTATGTTCTCTATTTTCCATGTAGTCAAATTACGCCACAGCAACGCGTGGCCGGGTACAGCTAGTATATATATATATATATATATATATATATATATATATATATATATATATATAAATATATATGTGTGTGTGTGTGAGAGAGTGTGTGTGTGTGTGTGTGTGTACGTGTGTGTGTAAGTATGTATCATCTCAATATCTCAATGACAAGGCATAGTTCACAATGTAACAGATTGCCATCCTACTTGTATCGCTGTTTACCTTTTGCTGTCTTCCTTTCGACATTTCCCTCCAGTAAAGTTTTCAGAAGAGTGTTATGCATTTCAAAATGTGGGCAAAATATTTCAATTTTGCAGTCTTCCTGGGAACTATTTATTCGGTTGTTTTTGTTTCAATGAGATACGACCTATTCTTCTGTATATTCACTTTTCCAGAGACTCGGTTTAGTATTCGAATTGCCTGTTTATTGTCCAAGCTTCTGTACCTCAAGGCAGGCTTGAGCAATTATAACATTTGAGATTCTTTTTTTTTTCTTTTTTTTATGGAGTGTTTATTTCTCTAGCTGTCAGTAATAAGCTAGGATATAATTTTAACCAAAAACGACACAGAAATATGCAGCCATCTGTGGACACTAGCATCATCAAATGCCTCTCTCGGTGGCTAGAGAACAAGATGCATTCACATGTCGTAATTTTAACAGACTCTGAATGCCTGCCGAGAAAGGTGAGGACAGGGATGCTTCGAGCAGAGTGGAAAGCTTCACTTGGAAGGTCCCTGGTAGTGAGCATACTTTGGATCTTTTCTCCAGGCTATGACTGCGTGGTGGGTAATGAACAGACAGACACATTGGCTGGATCTGCACCAGTTGGTGGTGAATTAGTACATAACAAAGCAAGGCCCTTCAGGAACAAGCAGTGGAATCAAAAGAGAAAGAAGATTATTATGGCCTGGAGAAATTGGGTGTAACCAGAAGGTCTGACCTGCACACTGCACTCAGAGAAAAGGCAAGACGGACATATAACCAGATTGTGACCGGTACCATCAGTACTGTAACTCTGCGCTGGCTGCTGGAGAAGAGAAGGAAATATGCATGGGAATGCTTCAAGTGCTATGATGTCATTCCTTGAATCGACTCAACTCATGTCCCTCTGATACTCTCAACGGTCGCTATTCTTGTCCCTAATCAGGTATCCGTGAGACGGCTCCTGAGTTTTCCTCGTGCCGTATCAATGATCGTGTCTATCAACATCTGGAGAGAACCCCTGACCCTTGCAACAGGTGTTGGTGCTCCAATGGAGTGGAGGCATGCAACAGACGAGGCTGTCCATCTGGTAAGTCCTGACTAAAGTTTTTCATCTTCAACGTTTCGACAATCCCAGATTTCTTTTCTTGTGGTTCGCAGTACTGGAACCTTCTTGTAGACATCGATGTAATAGCGCTACTATAACAGACACTTTCTAGCGAGTACCTGCACATTTCCTGGTGACTTCGTAGTGACTACCGGCACATTTATTGTGTGTAGGGACAAAAAGATCTGCGTATAAGTATCTATTTACCTGACTGCTTGTCGTCTACCTGCCCGCCTGCCTAAAGAAATTAAACTTCAAACTAGCTGTAGTTAATTAATGTTCGCATCATTTGTAATTGAAGTAAATAGTAAACACAAAGGATGTGCTTAAGCTCGGTTAAATGGTATCGATTAGGAAGGATAATGTGTGCATCTAGTAATGAATAATTAGAGACCAGCGTGCAAGTTGGAAGAGAGTGTGCCAGATAAGAAAATCGTATGTGGAATTTTCGACAATTTGAGAGGAAAACAGGTTATTCAAACATGGAACGAATGAGAAGATTAATATTTTTTTCGATGTTGAGAAAACCGATTCGTATGGCCCTTGAAGAAGACCGAAGCAGAAAACCTGGCTATACAGTTCCTTAAGAATGCCAAGTTGGCTTCTGTTGCGAGAATAGTATTTTTGCTCAACTGTAAGTTTTAATAGATCATGAATTGCCTACGACTGGAAGTGTCCTATTTCGTCACCCTGTGTAGGTAATGTTGAATTCCTTGATGTTGTTACATGTTGTCTTCGGGCTCCCGGCTCTTTCAAAACCTCTTGGTTGCTCTTTTCGGGTGTCCTATGTATTTTAAGCATTCTTATGTAAAACCTTTAAGGCCTAAAGAACGTTGCTTGACCTGCCTACCTATGTTAAAACTTGATGTATGTCGAAAGCAATAATTCTTTTTCTAACCCTCATTGACAAAGATATATTTCATAAGATGCTCTTTTTCTTTTTTTTTTTTTTTAATAAAATGCAGCTTTTGCCTGTCTTATTCTGTTTCTTATTGCAAATAATAATCTCCCTGAATCCTCCTTTCGCCTCCTGCTTCCCTGTACTGTGTTATAATTTTTCTCAAGCAAATACAATGTTTTTATATTATTTAAAATTTTTAATATATTTAATGTTTTTATTCATCTAACTACATATTAGACATACATTATCACTCAGATAGAATTATTACTTTGAAAATTAAAAGAGGAGAACAAGCTGAAACATATATACAGATATATGCACCATGCAATGATAATTATACAGAAGAGCAGAAAGATGAATTCTTTGACGATCTGTCTGATGAGATAAAGAAAGTTGAGGGAAGCAGCATACTATATGTAATGGGTGACTTCAACGGGAGGGTAGGAAATAACAGAAGAGAATACGAACAGTTTTTAGGTCCACATGCAGCTAAGAACAGTGCTAGAAATGGAAATGGTCAAAGAATATTGGAACTATGCAGCCAGCACAATCTTTTTATTACGAACACATTCTTTGACCATAGAGATTCACAACTTTACACTTGGTACAAATGGAATGATATCTCCATCAAGAGCCAGATTGACTTTATACTTACCAGAGTTCAAGGAAGAAGGAGAATTCTTGATTCAAGAGCAATCCCTAATGGTCTATGTGACACTGACCATAAAATAGTTGTGTTAACAGCAAAACATCTTACATTAAAGAAACACAGAAAGAAATTAAACAAAAACAAGGATCTCATCAAGATAGCAAATCTGAAACAGGAAGGAGTAAAAGAACAGTTACAACAGAAAGTAGAGACAGCATTCAAACAACTTCCACATGTAGTTGGCAATATTGAGGAAGAATGGAGTATATATAAAAACACTATGCTTAGTATTGCAGAAGAATTATGTGGCAAACGGAAGAGTGGAAACAGACAAGGAAATAACAAATATTCACCTTGGTGGTGCGAAGAAGTAAAAGAAGCAATTAAAAAGAAAAAAGACTTATATAAACAGTGGATAAAATCAAAGAAAGAAGAAGATTATATAAACTATAGACTGCAAAGGAGAGAAACCAATAGGAGTGTCAAGAAAGCAAAACAAGCATCCTGGGAACGTTTCGGTGAGTCACTAGCAGAAAATGAGAAAACAGCCAGCAGAAATTTTTTCAAAGTGGTTAAAAATATGCGGAAAAGAGATGAGAGCTACAACCCCACTGAAATAATTAATGATAAGACAGGAAGGCCATTGATAGATCCACCCGAGATTGCAGAAAGATGGAGGGAATACTTCAATGAGCTCTTTAATCCTCTAGGAGATCATCAGGAAAGAACAACTGAAGAGCACAGAGCAACAGTGTTAGAACCACACATACTAATGGATGAAATAGAAAAAGTCATTAAACAGTCTCCCAAATATAAAGCACCAGGAGCTGATAGATTACCAACAGAAATAATTCAAGCAGCAGGTGAAAGCAGCATCAGATGGCTTCACAGAATATTCAATGCAGCATGGGTACAACAAACGGCCCCTATTGATTGGCAACATGCAATAGTTATACCATTGTGGAAGAACAAAGGAAGCAAACGAGAATGCGGTCAATATCGAGGCATCTCTCTTTTAAGCCATGTTGGCAAAATGTATGCCAAGATAATAGAAACAAGACTGAGACCAGTGATAGAACCACAGCTGGCAGAAGAACAGATGGGATTTAGGAGAAATAGAAGCTGCACAGATGCAATCTTCACACTTAAACAGTTAATAGAAAAGAACATTGAATACAATAAGAACTTATTTGTGGCATTCGTAGACCAGGAGAAGGCATTTGACAGAGTCGACAGACAATTATTATGGAAAATAATGGCAAGATATGGAGTAAGCGAACACCTCATCGAAGTGTGCAAAAGTTTATACAGGGATTGTAGAAGTGTAGTTAGAATAAATCAAGGAACATCTCATCCTTTCACAGTGACATCTGGAGTAAGACAGGGATGTGTCTTATCACCACTGCTGTTTATCACCTACATCGACAGTATATGCAAGAATGCCAAGCCTATGAATGAAGATCTTAGTAAGATCAACGAATTACTCTTTGCAGATGACCAGGCCTTGATAGCAGATACAGCCATGAAATTGCGACAACATCTAACATCCATGAATAAAGAATGTAAAACAAATAATATGAAAATCAACACTGAAAAGACAGAAGTAATGTCAATAGGAAAAAGAAGACAGATCTAAACATAACAATAGAATACAAAGGCATTAAACAGGCATCTGAGTTTAAATATCTGGGAACTACATTTACCGAAGATGGGAAATTGGATAAAGAAATTGACATTAGATGCAGTAAAGCAAACCAAGTATTGGGACAGCTAGCCCCCCTCTTACAGCATAAGACAATCCCAGTCAGCACAAAGAGACATCTTATTCATAGCATATTTATTCCAACTCTGTGCTACCAGTGCCAGAAATGGTCACTCACAACAAACCATAAAAGAAAATTAGTAACCACGGAAATGAGATGTCTGAGAAGGGCTGTAGAAGTGACCATAAGAGATAAGATCAGAAATGAGATCATAAGAGAACAAGTCGGCACAGAACCAATTCTGGATTACATACAAAGACAGCAAGTAAAATGGTTTGCCCACTTAGAGAGAATGCCTTGTGACACCATACCATACAAAGCATACATGGGAAGAGAAGAAGGACGTAGAGCACGGGGTAGACCAAAAACAAGATGGAAGGATAACATCAGAGAAACTCTACAACAGCACGATGTGCCTATGGTGGAGGCAGCCAGAAGAGCTAGAAACAGAACCTTATATCTCCCTCGACACCCACAGCGGTAAAAGAGGAAGTGAAGAAGAAGAAGATGAAGAAGAAGAATGTTTTTATTCAAACATGACCATTATTTGTTACCGTATTTACACTATACTGTTGTTAGGACAACCCAATTTGAAATTTGACTTTGTTGACCATTTTGATCGCTTTCTTCGAACGGCTTATATTTTAAGTCAGAAGTACCATTGTGTTTTGTGTAACCACGCCTCTGCATTCTATCCTAACAACATTTTGCTTTCCAGCGTGGCTCTTGTGGCTTGTAAATATGGCCGAACCATTGTTCTTTAAAAAATTGTATGATTGTTGCAGTCCAGACTCCTTCTAATACTTTGAATTTTTAATTGAATCTGTTAACTGCTCCAGTGATTATTGTAAGACATCAAACTATAGAATTGTTACATGGTGACTTTTTCTTAAAGGACAATCGAATTCATTCTAAACTGGGTACCTTAAAGGGGTACCGGGTAAAGTCCTGGAAAGTGAAGGGGATCGGCATACTGTTGGCCACATCACCCAAGGAGTGCCGATTCAATTTATAAAATATAGATCTAGCCCTAAATGGTCCAAAGCAACGGAAGGCGTGGCAAAGGGTCCTTTACTTATAGACTGAATATTCATCAAATCTGTAGCTGTGAATGTTCTCATCTGTTCATGTCATTCCCATTCAGATTTAAGACCTCAAGGCAGAGCTCCGTGTGTCGTTGGCGACAGAGTTTACCCGCACGGACAGAGAACAGGAGATCCTTGTGACAGATGTCAGTGCTTCAATGGGCATGAACTGTGTACCCTTAACATGTGTTACATTGGTATGTTACAGATCCTTTTGTTGTTGTTGACCCTCCGTTCGTCCGTTCGTCCGTCCGTCCGTCTGTCCGTCCGTCCGTCCGTCTGTCTGTCTGTCTGTCTGTCTGTCTGTCTGTCTGTCTGTCTGTCTGTCTGTCTGTCTGTCTGTCTGTCTGTCTGTCTGTCTGTCTGTCTGTCTGTCTGTCTGTCTGTCTGTCTGTCTGTCTGTCTGTCTGTCTGTCTGTCTGTCTGTCTGTCTGTCTGTCTGTCTGTCTGTCTGTCTGTCTGTCTGTCTGTCTGTCTGTCTGTCTGTCTGTCTGTCTGTCTGTCTGTCTGTCTGTCTGTCTGTCTGTCTGTCTGTCTGTCTGTCTGTCTGTCTGTCTGTCTGTCTGTCGCCCAAATCTAATGGAATGAAATGTTACGTTTGTAAAAAGGTCATTGGTCAAGTCAAGTCCATGTTAAGTAAATATACAACTGGAGAGAAAAACAAGATAAAATTGAAGCAATTCTGCCAAGATTTCCGCGCTTTTTAGGCATATTGGGTATATAGGGCTAGACCTATATTTTATAGACCAAAAGGCGCTTAGTGGGTGATGTGGTCAGCATCACATCTTCTGCCTTTGCTTCCCACAACTGTACCTGGTACCCACTCAAGGCTGGGTCGACCTGAGAGCCATGGTCATTTTAAAAAAATGTTAGGCCTCATATATATATGTATATGATAACAAATGAACTAAGAAATGTGTCGTCTCAATTAGAACAAAACTAATACTAAATTTAAAATCTGTCATTGTAATGTCTCACCGGTACTGTTGTGTGGAAGTGAAACATGGAGAGCATCTCAACTTAAAATCTGTCATTGTAATGTCTCACCGGTACTGTTGTGTGGAAGTGAAACATGGAGAGCATCTCAACTTAAAATCTGTCATTGTAATGTCTCACCGGTACTGTTGTGTGGAAGTGAAACATGGAGAGCATCTCAACTTAAAATCTGTCATTGTAATGTCTCACCGGTACTGTTCTGTGGAAGTGAAACATGGAGAGCATCTCAACTTAAAATCTGTCATTGTAATGTCTCACCGGTACTGTTGTGTGGAAGTGAAACATGGAGAGCATCTCAACTTAAAATCTGTCATTGTACTGTCTCACCGGTACTGTTGTGTGGAAGTGAAACATGGAGAGCATCTCAACTTAAAATCTGTCATTGTAATGTCTCACCGGTACTGTTGTGTGGAAGTGAAACACGGAGAGCATCTCAACTTAAAATCTGTCATTGTAATGTCTCACCGGTACTGTTGTGTGGAAGTGAAACACGGAGAGCATCTCAACTTAAAATCTGTCATTGTAATGTCTCACCGGTACTGTTGTGTAAAAGTGAAACATGGAGAGCATCTCAAATAATCACTAACAAACTACAAACATTCATTAACTGGTGCCTGCGCAGAAGACGGGAATCTAATGTCATGACAGAATCACTAATATAGAGCTTCCAGAAAACAACTGAACAAATTCCAGTGGACCAAGAGGTGAAGAAAAGACGATGTCGTTGGATAGGACACAGGTTGAAAAAATCTTAGAACAATATAACTAGAACGTCTTTGCAGTGGATGGAACCCACAGGGGCATAGAAATAAAGGCAGACCAAAACACAGAGAAGATAGCTATTGAGCGAAGTTAAAAAGAAACGGGGAGCGCTGTATGCGATAGCGAAGTATAGAACGACTTGGCGTTTTTTGGTTGAGAGCCTGTGCTCCAGTGGGGACTAGAAGGCAGAAGAAAACTATATACCAAGTACATCTAACTGCGTGAAAATGGGTTCTTTGGATCTTCATACCCACACAGCAATATATATTATGTGACTACCTTGTCTGACTTTCACGTGAAATATATGTCACAATTAATTCTTGTCACATTTCCAGATGGCGTCCCAGTGTAATTCTATCACCGCTGACCCAATCCTGACTGTACTGTTGCAGGGAGGTAACTCGATGACTACCACTTGACGTGATTGTCTGTGGCTTTAATCAATTTAGCATAGATCCAACATAAGGAAACATACAACCTATAAGTCAACATAAACACTACACACACGCACACACGCACATATATATGTGTGTATTTATGTATCTTTTCTGTGTATATAAAAAAACATAAATACACATACGTACGTCCATTCGACAGGATAATTTCATGAAAACATTAAAAGTGTTACAAAATTTACAGTTACCATACTATTGTCTTGTCAGCTGTCTGTATTGTTGTTAAGGATGTCAACACTGTTAGGCACAATACGTCACAGTGCAGACGAACACGGTGACGTCATAATATTAATTTAAATATGGTTACCCCATTTCTTCTTTTTTGTTGTTGGCACATTATGACAGCGAAGTTTAACCCCGCGAGGACCGCAAAACGAGGGATAAAAACCGGGTGAAACAAACTGCCACCATTCGGATGAGGATCACCCGTGGACAGGTCCCAGAAACCCAGTTCAACCCTAGGTTATATAAGGGCTCCTGGCAACGGCCAGCGTGCCACTTCAAAACTAAAAAAAATTGCGTCTGACTTTGGGACTAACCTAACACATGCTTTTTCAAAATACTTTAAAGGCTTTCATTTGAAGATACATTGATAAATATATAATGTGTGTGTGTGAGGAGGAGGGATGGTGTATTATTTTTACGATGCATCTTCTTGGGTCACTGTCTTGGTCCAGTTTTTATGTAGCAATCCAGAAGGGAACACACAAGCTGTCCGTTAGTCCAAATATTGTTTTCGCTGTTTGTGACCAATAAATTACACTGTTACCTCACTTGTTTGTGTCTCTATTTATTTAAAATCGTGTCTTCCGTGTTTGCTTGAAAATTTTGCCTCCATTGTTTGTTTCTGTTTGTTTTAACATGTTGCCTCCATTGTTTGTCTCTATTTTAAAATGTTGCTTCTATTATTTATGTCTACATTTATTTACAATCGTGTCTTCCTTGTACATCTATTTACAGTGTTAGAAAACGTGTCTATGTGACTGGTCTTGAAACTTGTTTCTAACTTTAAGTCATATAATGACGAAAGAACAAATAATGCCAATTTTCTCTTTACTGAGATATACTGTCCTAGAAGGGGACGTCGTTTTTCGTTGCATTAAAAAAAAAAAAAAAAAAAACTCAGTCCTGCTGTTGTCGGGGGAACTAACATAATCAAACGGTTAAATTGGCTTTCTGGGTCTTGCTGTAGCACAGCGCTGTTCTTTGCGTACGTTGATGTCCACACCCAGGTTCGTCTAAAGGAGGAGTAAATTGAAATTGAAAAGGAATAGACGAGGAGAAATATCGTCATGTCGATTATGGTGATGATGATGCTGTCTTGCTAGCTGTATGCTTCTCATGTCACTGAAGGTTGAAAAATTAAATGTCTGGATACAACTGTTTTTTTCAATACTGTGTTTATTGGGATACTTCAGCAATGTCCCAAATAACTGCAATGATATTCCGAATGGCCGCTACTTTAGCTCTGTGGTTACATACTCTTGAGATCGCGTTGTGTTCTTCATCACTAGTGTCTGTAACTGCCACCTGGCTTCTAGTGCTGTCTGGTACTAACAGTTTGATCGTCGATCTTAGTGGTATTTTTATCTGATGGGTCTCTGTTAACCCTGGACCCATGTTGTCTCTGGAGTTAGATGTCTCCTCTCTAGTGACTGTCTTTGAGGCTCCATGTGACTGGTTCCTCTTCTACTAGTGTTGAGTTGGCATCTCCACAACTGCCAGGGTCCATGTTACTAGTCCCTTCTCTTACAATTCTCGACGACTGGAGGATATCTTTGAGGGTCCATGTTACTAGTCCCTTCTCTTCTAAGTCTTGTAGACTGAAGGATTACCCAAGTGGTTTCTTACACATGGGATATACAGAGATGATAGAATGCTAGGTATGTTTATGAGATTTTTTAATTGTGTCTAGATTGCATCATCTTGTTCTAAATATACTAATAAAATTGACAGTCGGCCTTGTGGGGACTTCCAAAAAAACCAGTACAGCTGCGTTCTCTTTGATAGGGCACGTCACAACAATTACATCATATACTATTTATAGATTATTCATTTTGCAAAATATTTCTCTGTTAATAACTAATGATCTTACAAGAAAAGGTCATCAAAGTTTTTAAAACCTGTTGATTCCGGTACATGATAACTTTGCGCAATATCCGACCTCCTAACAAACAAGTGATGACGTCTCCCTGTTACATTGTGCCTGGGTGATTCTGATACGAATGGTGACACTTTCTGTGGCACTTCATTCATTCTCTTTAACCCTAGTATACCAAAATTCTTTCCACAATGAAGGTAAGCAATTAACAACAAAAGCATTACTTTGGATCTGGGACAATATTCTTGATTTATTTTACTTATTTCGGTGTCTCAACTGTTTTGTGACGAAACTATCCCCCCCCCTCCCTTCTTCCGCCCCTTTACCCCACTAAAACCGCAACAACAATAATTGTTTAAAAGGGGTAAAATTTGAGAGTTGCTTGTGATCAAACGTTTAATGTAAAATTCAAGTCCCCTTACCACGTATAAACAGTTGGACGCATAAGTATCAATGTATACTTGTTGGCTGATGAGGTTAACCTTTACTTACCCTGAAGTTTGAAGTTTGAACAACGGATCAACATCATGGCACACCATAAGTGCTCAGTTTTTTTCTAACTCAGCGTCGTGCACGAACTCTGTTGCACCGGCGGGGATCCTGAAATACTTTTAGGGTAGATTTTTAAACTCCAAATTTTGCTAAGATTATTCATTTCGATTTCCAACTGCCAAGAGATTTTTGTACGTGCATAACAATACACACGGGCGTCGGATTTGACTACCCATAAATCAGGGGAAATTACTTAAAGTTCACGTGAACATGAAAAATCCCAGCCTTCACCGGGGCCTAAACCCGGGACCTCTAGCACTCAAGGTGGCGACCATACCCTGCTCTCCCCTACTTCCGCTGATTATAACTGATACTTATTTAAGGCTGGGTCGACCTGAGAGCCAAGGTCATTTTTGACGACGAAAAAGTCAGGCTTCGTCAAGTCCCGAACCCACGACCTTCAGATCCAGAGGCGAGCGTCTAGCCACCAAGAGGGCTACAACAATTGTCGTAAAACTGTGAAATATTTGCGCTCTGCATCGATCAAAGCACACACCAGTCGCAGGCACACAACAAGGGATGAAAGAAGAGTTCATGACAGTAGCGAGTGACAAAGAGATCACTTGCCTCCTAACAAGCATGTCGTGAAAGGCGAATAATTATAGTTTTATGTGTGGCTTTTTCTTCAAAGTCTGGGTGCACTCCTTAGTAGTCAAGGAACCAACAGTTGGCACATATGTAAACCTGATCTGTACAATATGCAAGCAACACTAAAATTCTGAAACAAAACTAAACTCCAGAAGTGGACGTACAACCAGAACTTTCTATCAGTTTAAAGCGAGTGAACGCTAAGAAAAAGGTTGGCTATATTTTTTATAAACCATCTGCCAGGGATATCGTGGCAACGGTCCTTTGTCAGAGATGTAACTTCAACTGTCCCGTGCCTTTGTCAGAAATGTAGACTCAACTGTTCCGTGCCTTTGTCAGAGATGTAACCTCAACTGCCCCGTGCCTTTGTCAGAGATGTATTCTCAATTGTCTCGTGCCTTTGTCAGCGATGAAACCTTATATGTCCTGTGCCTTTGTCAGAGATGCAATCTCAACAGTTATTGTCATAATACAAGGGAAAGATGAAATGGCAGGAAAAAGAAGTTGGTGATTTGAAAAGGTGACATTAGGTGACTGCAAAATCTAACTTTATGTCTCCGTTCGTAAGGTATCGCTAGGTGTTGCATGCGCTTTCGTTACACAGAAACAAAAATGCCGACTGTTGCATATTTGCTAGCTACAAAACAATTGTAAATACTTTGTGGGACCTTTAACAACCAAATTTATTAGTCTGTTATTTCTTAAGAATATTTAGTAACTACTATTTAGTTTAAAATATTTTGTTAGTCCTAAAATTTATAAAGGTTTCTTAGTCCTTTGAATAAGGATCACACACACACACACACACACACACACACACACACACACACACACACACACACAATCACAAATCCATAAACAGCATAATAAAACAGAGAAAAAGCTTCTTAGATTTCACACATGTCCAGTTCCCTACAAACATCTTCTTCAGTATCGGAGGACAACCACTCCTGGATCTTCTTAGGTTCGTTTAGCTTAAAGAAAATGTCACACATAGGTTGAAATTTTGAGGGCATTCG